ACACACACACACACACACACACACACACACACACACACATATATACATATATAAACCTTCTTAAGATCCAATAGTGCAAAATGCAAATTCTTGCACTTTTTGACTGGTCTTGAGATTTTGATCAGGAGTGTGTATATATATAATAAAATGGATGGTACATGGACTGTACTTATATAGCGCCTTTCTATCCATCCAGGACACTCAAAGCGCTTCACACTGCAGACATTTGCCACCGGACCCTCTGACCACCATCAGTAGGCAAGGCGGGTAAGGTGTCTTGCCCAAGGACACAACRACTGAGTCGACTGGACGGGGATCAAACTGGTGACCTTCCGGCTCCAGGACTACTCCCCTAACCACTCTACCACAGCCGCCCCAAATACTGATACATATTACTGAATGATAGCAGGAAATATGGGCATCAGCACTGGAGATTCAGATGTTCTGTTGGTTTTCAGTTTCTGATGCAGAACAAAAATAGCTTTTTCAGATTAATGATCAAAAGGTAGAAGTGTTCTCTTCCTTCAAATAGATGCAAAACTCCCAGTTTAAAAACTTTTTCACTCAGGAAGGAGAACCTTACGTAGCCAAATGTTTGTCTCTTTGCAATGGTGTCATGGACTTCTTCATTGTAGATCAGATTCTGACACCTCTTCTGACCTCAAAATTGTCTTTTTCCTGCAGTCGTGTACTCAGTAATGTGGAGGGAAAGTACCTGATGGACAGCGTCCCATTCAGCTGCTGTAACCCTGGCTCCCCGCGACCCTGCATCCAGCATCACGTGACCAATAACTCTGCCCACTACGACTACGACCACCGCACCGAGGAGCTGAACATCTGGAACAGGGGCTGCCTTGAGGCAGTTTTCTCCTACTACAGCAGCATCATGACCAGCATTGCAGTGCTCCTCATCATTTCCATGTTCCTGGAGGTAAGAGACTGCCTACATCCTTTTACAGCCAATTGGCATCCAGCCTAGACCACTTACTTGAAGGATTCACATTTAAACAGTCAATAAACTGTCAATAAACCTTTCACAGATCATGGTCCAGTTTGGGGGCATCCAGTGCCACTATGTGAACAGAATGACTGTTAAAACGGGTCATAAATCACTGTACTGTGCGTTATTGCATTTACTCACATAATATGGGAAATTCAACCCCAAAAATAATACAGATTGTGTGTGTGTGTGTGTGTGTGGGGGGGGGGGGGGGGTAGTGTTATATACAGAATTCGTTTTGACTGACTTCCTCTCATTGGAAGTTGCGCATAGCTAACAGTAGTTGTTTACTCACTGGAGTCAGAGGAGAAAAATACTTGTTTTCTGTAGGAGTATTAAACGCTAGAATTCTAAAATGGATAATTTGTGAATTATTTAAACACGCAAATTATCTGTTTTTCGAGGCACCACTAAAGTTTTTATAGTAAAACTTCAGAAAAACTTTCTTTTAATATTCAGTCTCTAAAAATGAAGGCGTTTAATTCTTCCAGTTTAATGACGGCGTGAGACAAGGAAATACAGACGAAGACAAATCACGTTTGGAAATCCATCCGTCTATTATTTAAAATGAGGTTCAGAGGGAAATATATGCATTACAAGTCTTTTCTCAGACAAAAACACACTTTATAATCAGTTCCGTAAACTTAATCAAGAAGTGATGTCATTAATCTGGCATGATTACCATGTGAATGACTTCCTAAACATATTTCAGTAGGGCACTACTCGCTATTTCTAAGCCTATCGCTAACAGAGAGGGAGCTCAGGGGAAGAAGAATGAACATTGATTAAACTCTGATCTGATTTAAATCTTGGAACACACCATCAGATTAATTGAGCAAGATGTTTCCTACCGGCAAAGTTGTAGACGCCAGAATGGATACTTCTAGGCTAATTGGGTGGCACGTGAAGTCCAACCGAGTCTTATCTGTGTTGTGTAGAAGTTCCCTGGTCATCTGGTTTGCTGGCTGCATTCACTGGAGATGTTGTCCAGCACCGTGGCTGCGTTCCTTGCGAGCACACTGAGGTCGTCCGACTTGAATTAAATCAGCCTCATCGTTTTAATCAATGTAAATCTACCTCCTGGAAGCTCCTTACGATTAAACTATGAAAAGTAAAAAGTGGAAAAGAATGGCCTAGCTCGCCCCGGGATGGGGGAAGCTGGAACTGAAAAACAACTGCTTTCTCCTCAAAACGCTTCTTCAGAACTCTCTACATGGCAGAACAACGAAATACTCCCTGTTCACAACGGAACTTCTCATTGGTTAAGACTTTCTGCGGTGGTCACATGACACCCTCCAGACATGTAACAGAAGAACAGAGTAATAGTTAATCAACCAGATCAAGTTACTTAAACAATGTCATGATTATTACAGTAATTAAAATCAGAGTACCAAGGTATTGTTTTGACACTTCACAGATGCTTTTTTTATAGTTATAAACGGAAAACATGGGTGACAAATAAATAAAATATTTTCAGAGTGGCGTTGCTGACCCACAAATAAATCTGATGGGAGTCTTTTGATGTCAAACAATGTTTATTCCAGCCTTATCCTGAAAGAGGTGATAAACCAATTAACTGGCGACAGGAAGTCTAGCCTTTGTTCTAAGGCCTAAGGGTGAGGAATCAGATGAATTAACAGGAGTCCTTATTCAAACTTTGAGATATCACAGGCTGGATGAAAAAGGTGGAGTTAACAGGACTGTCTCTTGAGAAGATATTCATGTTTCCACTACATTTCTTTTTCTTGTTAATCGCAGCGATGTAAAGAAGACTTGGACTGTAGTTGCATGTTCTGATAAATACACTACTCACAAAAAGTTAGGGATATTTGGCTTTCATGTGAATTTTATGGTAAATGTAAAAGGTTCACGCTACAGTGATATCATATTATGAAAGTAGGACATTTAAGTAAAAGAATGCACTGGTGATTTCCTCATCTCAAACAATTTATTGAAACAAAAGTTAACAACAATGGTGGGTACACAACAACAAAAAATTATAACGTCTCAATAACTCGTCATGTGCCCTTGAGCATCAATTACAGCTTGACAATGACGTCTTATGCTGTTCACAAGTCGACTTATTTTCTGTTGGGGCATGGTATCCCACTCTTCTTGAACGGCAGCCCTCAGGTCATTCAGGTTCTGGGGTGCAGAGTTTCGAGCCTCTACAAGGTGGCTCAGCTGATTCCACAGGTTTTCAATGGGATTCAGGTCTGGAGAAAGTGCAGGCCATTCCATTTGAGGTACACCAGTCTCCAACAGCCGTTCCCTGATGATGTGACCTTGATAAGCTGGAACATTGTCGTCTATGAAGATGAAATCAGGCCTGTGTTGTTCATGTAGGGGCACAATCACTGGATTAATGGTGTTATTCAGGTATTATGGGCTTGTCACTGTACCATTCACAAAGTGTAGGGCAGTTCTGTACCGACTGGAGACACCTGCCCACACAGTAACTGTACTGTTGCACCCAATGTGACCCTGTGTCCTGTATTGAGATTCACAGCCAGCTAAACTCTCTCTTGCATCATTTCCTTCAAGGAACAGGTGCGTGTTGTAGTTGAACAGAATTTAATACAAAAGAGTGTGAAACTGCAACAATATAAAAATATAAAAAAGGGATTCAGTATACAAATAATGTTTCTACTTAATGCAATAGACATATTTCTTGATTCCTAATGTGCATGAAATGATCAATATTTATCAGTCTCATCATACAAACTCAGATTGGTTTATGACTATAAATGCACTGCACATCAAACATCTCAATGATCACTTGCACAACATCTAACCACACACAAGTGACAAACTTACTTATATTGCCACTCAAAGGGAAGTAAAGGAGTGGATGGCTGTAGATGAGAAGAGATACACCATGCTTGCAGGCTTTGTGAGAAAACAATAACTTCCTGTTACATTTCTTCTATTAACTAAATCAACTTAGTGAAAAAGTGCAAACAGCACCTCCAACTGGCCTGGAAGAAGAACAACACAACTAGTTCCAGTACATTATTTAAACAATGGGCCTCATGCAAGAACCGTTCGTACTCACAGATTTGTTCTTAAGTTGTGCGTACGAGTGATTTAGGAGAATTTGTGGCATTCACCAATGTTTTCATATTCTAAGATTTTTTTCAGATACGAACAAAATTCAGGAGTGGTCCAGACCTGTCGTATATTTTACCAGCAGTCAGTCTGCTGTTATCCAGACGGGTTTTCTTCACTAATAACTTTATATTTCATTAGTTTGAAGATATTTAGAGTTGAAAATAAATCACACTCCATAATTATGTTGACAATAAGTTATTCTGCTTGAATTAGAGTTATAATTTTAAATGTAATAATTTAGACTAACAATATAAATTGTCCGCCCGGAAGGCTTACCCGCTATCGGGTGCGGGGCCAGCAGGAGACCCCGCGCTCTCCCCAGCGACACTTTCCAGCTCGTCCTGGGGGCCTCCGAGACGTTCCCAGACCAGAGGGGATACATAATCCCTCCAGTGAGTCCTGGGTTTTCTCCAAAGTGCCAGACTTATTTTGAAAACATTTTAAAATGCTTATTTCAAACCCGCATCTGAGACCACCTGCGAACATGCAGCACGCGCGGGGGTGGGGTGGGGGTGCGCAGCGCTGTGTCTTCTGAATAAATGAAAATGATTTAACACAGTTGTTTAGACTTTTAGCAGCTCTTTTTATTCCACAGCTGACCTGCTAAAAATGACAGATTTTCTTTTCTKGATCTCTGACAGACGGACTTCAATCTCTGAACTCGTAAAGTTCTTCTTTTTAGTTTTCGCAGTCATTTTTCATGAATGAATGAACACTTCCTTGTAGCTGAAGCAGGAAACACAGCCTTATATGGTGTTTTTGGGGTGGTAATTATGCTAATCTCCTCTCGCGTGCACGAGCAGCTGGATAGAACAGGTGAATTTACGCAGCTCATTTACACACTTTTCCTGAAGATAGAAGAGTTTGTTGAATCTGACGTGACATGTTCTTACGAACCCTTTGTACAAACAAAAGTAAGAGAAATTTAGGATAAGAATACGAACATGTTCTTGCACGAGGCCCAATGCCACTATGACTCCATCATGAAACTAATCTCTTGAAGACAAAAGAATACAGTCCCAAATAGGTCTATAGAAAGTCTTAGCAATCTTGTCACGAGTAATCTTTACTTCCATTTTCCTGATGACTCCATCTTTGCTTGGGAGGGTCTTTGTGATGACTCCCATGGGCCATTCATTTCTTTTTAGCTGCTTGTCCTTTAGAAGAATGATGTTCCTTTCCTTCAAGTTTGGTCTGTTATGCTGCCATTTCTGATGACTTTGGACCATGTTAAGGTATTCTTTCTGCCATCTGGTCCAGAATGTATCAGCTAGAGCGTGAACTCTTTTCCACTGATGTTTGTACATATGAGCTTTGGAGAAGTCCCCAGGTGGAGTTGGAATTGGACCATATTTCTGTGTGAGTAGAGTCAAAGGGGTCAAGATTAAGGGAGCCTCTGGATCTGAGGAAACTGGTAACAAAGGCCTTGCATTAACAATAGCTGTTATTTCAGCCATCAAGGTTGTCAGGACCTCATGAGTCAGTGTAGGGTTCCCTGCTTGCAGGAGCATTGAGTCTAGGATGCGTCATGAAATGCCTATCATATGCTCCCAGGTGCCACCCATGTGAGATGAGTGAGGAGCATTGAACACCCAGGAACACCTCTGTTTGCGTAGGTAGTCATCCACACTTGACTCAACAGACTTTGGGGAATCCAGCTTCAATTCTTTGAAGGCACCGATGAAATTACTTCCGCAGTCAGACCTCAACTGCTTAGCAGGGCCTCTGATAGCAAAAAATCTGTGAAGGGCCTTAATAAAACTGGACGAGCTCAGAGTTTCAATGACTTCAATATGAATTGCCCTTGTAGACATGCAAGTGAACAAAACTGCCCAACTCTTATTGTTACTTTGACCACCTTTGGTGCGGCGTGTTGTAACCTCCCATGGTCCAAATACATCAAGGCCAACATAAGAAAATGGAGGATCAGTCTGTAAGTGTTCAGCAGGCAAGTCTGCCATTATTGGTTGCTCTGTTTTGCCTCGAAGCTTCCTGCAAGTGACACATTGGTGGATTACACTAGTGATGGATCTCTTGGCACCAACTATCCAACTAAATATCCACCAACTAAATATCCACTTGCTCTCACGGCTCCCTCAGGGAAGTGTCTTCCCTGGTGCTGTACGGCTTCATGGTGGTATCAAATGAGCAGTGTAGCAATGTGATGCTTTCCTGGTATTAAAAGAGGGTTGGCTTCATGACTTAGCAAGCTGGATTCTGCAAGTCTCCCTCCAACTCACAGTAAGTTTGCATTATCAATCATTGGATTAAGTTTGTGAAGAGAACTGTTGTGTGCTATGTCTTGTTTTGTCACGACACATCTAATTTCTTCTGCATAGACTTCATGCTGGACACACCTGATGATTGTGTACTCTGGTTGGGATAAAGCTTCATCTGTGAGACTTACCTTACAGATGTGCCAGCCACTGCAACCGCTACCATTCTTGATTTTAATGTGAGAAATGTGTTGAATGTAAGCCACTGCTCTGACAAGGGAAGTCCATTTTGAGAACCTTCCAAAGTGCAATGTACCCAAGGTAGCTGGAACAGTTGTAGTGGCAAGCACAGTTATGTCCTGTCGAATTTCAACATCCGACTCTGGATTGACAATTTCAAACGGACTTACTTACTGTCGAAAGTACGCCACAACGAGTGAAAGGCTTCTGCTCTTGGGGAACATGGAATGTGAATGTATCTGATGTGGGATTCCAACTCACCCCCAAACTGCGCTGGACTGGTAGCTCGTCAGTTGTTAAATCAAGATCTTTGATATCCTTGGCCCTATCTTCAGGTGGAAATGCCTTCACCACTTTGACCTTGTTGGAAGTAATCTTGTGGAGACGCAGATTTGAGAGGGCAAGCATTTTCTCTGCTCTCTGTAGGACATCAATAGCCTCCGCTTCGGTTTGGAAAGACTTTAATGCATCATAAACATAGAAGTCTTGCTCTATGAAGTTTCGGGCATCAGTTCCATTTTCATTTTCTGCCTCCCTTGCTGCCATTCTCTGCCCGTAGATTGCCACTGCTGGGGAGGGACTGTTACCGAAGACATACACTCTCATTTGATGGTCAACTACATCTTTTGTAAGGTCGTTGTCTTCATACCACAGGAACCAAAGGTAATCTCTGTGCTCCTCCTTGACTACAAAGCAGTAAAACATTTTTTCAATGTCAGCTGTGATGGTGACCGGTCCTTTCCTGAAACAAAGCAACACGCCTAGAAGTGTGTTGTTTAGGTTTGGACCTGAAAGAAGTACATCAATGAGAGACACTCCATCAAACTGTGCACTCGAGTCAAACACCACACGTATCTTTCCTGGCTTCTGTGGATGGTATACACCAAATATCAGTAGATACAAGTTCTCTTTGTCTTCCCAGGGAGGTGGTGCAAGCTCTGCATGTTGCTTGCCGAGCATCCTCTGTATGAATTCAATGAAATGTGTTTTCATTTCAGGTTTTCTGTCAAGTGTACGTCGCAGGGACCTGAGGCACTGGTAGGCGTAAAACCGGTTGTCAGAGAGTTTGCATCTGGGGGTCCGAAATGGGAGTGGTGCAACCCAGCTGTTAGTATCATCTTTGAAGAACTCCTCCATCTTCTTCAGAAAGATCATGTCTTCAATAGAATGAGCAAGCTGGTTGTCTTTATTGGTGCGACAAAATACAGTCTCTCCTAGATTCTCAGCTGTAGGCTTTTGATGTGAGTGAGCAGATGTCAGTTGATTGGAAATGGCTTTGGCTTGGCTTAGACTGAAGTCCTCTTTTACACTGAAGCGACTGATGCAGGGAGTGAAATAGCTTGAGCTGCCATTGTCCAACACGTGTTTTCAAAGCATTCACTTCACTTGGCTTGTAAGCGTTGCCGAGACACACATCACCGATGATAACCCAACCCAAGTCAAGCTTCTGGGCAAATGGGTCATTGTGTCTGCCATTAATTTGCTCTCTCACTTCGTGAGCTCTCAGAAGGTTTCATCCTATCAACAGCAGCATACCTGCATTTGGGTCAAGAGGTGGTATTTCCGCAGCCATTACTTTCAGATGCTGTTGGTGGAAAATAGCTTCTGCGGTGGGTATCTCTTCCCTATTGCTGGGGATGGCATTGCATTCTACGAGAGTGGGGAGAGGAAAACTCTTTTTTCCATCTAATGACTCAACTATGTAGCCACATGCTCTTCTACCAGTCACTTGTGTTGTACCACTACAGGTTTTCAGTGTGTATGGTTCTCTTGGGCTTTGTATATCAAATATGTCAAAAAAACTCTGTCTTTGCAAGTGATTGGTTACTTTGATCATCGATTATTGCATACATTCTTTTTATGTTGTCTCGCTGACCTTTGGGGTAGACTTGCACCAAGCAGATTTTAGAACAGGATTTCCCTGTGATTTTGTTTCCACATACCTCTGTGCATGTGGCAATAACATCTGAGTCCTGTGTATTGGCTTGCTCCCCGCCATGCTCTCCAATGGATGAGGGAGGCTTAAACATTTTTGATGCTGGGCCAGGATGAAGAGCTGCTAGGTGTCTCTTGCTGTCACACTCATCACACTTAATTGTGACTGTGCAATCCTTGGCTTAGTGGGAGGTGGGAACAAGACAGCAATGGCAGATGTTATTGTCTTTGAGCAAATTTTTTCTGTCTTCAAGTTGCATATTTCTGAAACTTCTACATATTTTAATCGAGTGGGGTTTGTGGTGTATGGGACTCTGTCTTTTAAAGTTTTCACCTGCTTCTTTTGTTTTGAAACTCTCTAATGATACGTCCGTCTTGTGCACTAAGACCGATGGCTTTTGATTGTAGTTACCTATTGGTTTCCCTTTCCTGTAGCTGGATGCATGATTGACCTGCGAGAGAGTTGCTGTGTTGAAAGTTGTGGTGAAGCTTGGGTCATTTCTTGCTTTAGCTTGACCTTTCACAAACTCTACAAAGACTGAAAAGGGTGGGAAGCTAACATTGTGGTCTTCTTTAAACTTTGACCCCACCATCGTCCATTTTTCTTGGAGATGAAAGGGCAGCTTCTCCACAATTGGACCTACTCCCCTGGCTGTGTCAAGGTAGCTTAACCCCGACAAATAGCCATCTAACTTTGCTGCTTGGAGTTCACACAGTAAGTCTGACAGGTCACGAAGCTTGTATGGTTCTTCACTGGAAGAGGGAGTTTTCTATTGCTTCTGGCGAGCCATAACATTCTTCTAATCTCAACCACATCATGTTCAGACTAGCCAATGGATGCTTTATGTTGACTGATTTTAGTCTCTTAGCTTGTACAGAAGACTCAGGGCCTAGCCACTTAATGAGAAGATTTATTTCTTCACTGGGTGTAAAACCAAGGTCTCTTATGGTGCTCTGGAATGTGGCTTTCCAGCTCAGGTAATTCTCAGGCTCATCATCAAACTTGGACAGTCCTCCAGTTACTAGTTGACTCTTGGCCAGAAATCTGGCAAGGTCAAGTGTGGTGTCGGCACTGCTGCTTGAGTTTGATACCTGCTGTGTTTGTGACACATTATGGAGGGTTTGTGGAATTACATCTCTTTGTAGTGATTGCTTAGCACGATCTTGTGGTGAAAACAAGTATTGCATCTGTTCTTGTTTGGGACAAAGCTGTATAAACATTACTGGGTTTTTTTTGCATTGTTGTATCTGACATTTGTTGTCATCATGTGGAAACATATCAATATTGTCTTGAGCTGAGTCACTGTAATTGTGTTTACTTATGTATTCACTCACTTTTTACTCAGGGGTTGGTTGTAGGGTTAAAAATGTCAACTCTTCTTTTGATTCAGCAATGTCAAATTGAGCTGCTGTTGATCCCATTACCTCTGCTTTTGCTATCAGCTTCCTTTTGGAGATTGAGTACGTTGAGAGTTGCTTCCAGCCGGGCTTTCTCCACTTTGATACTGTTGTGTCTCTCCCTGTCTCTGGTTCCGTTTCTGCTCGGTTCGGCTCGGCTTTGTCAGCTGCTGGACTCTTCTCTCTTTTCCCCTCCGTCTGCTGTCGGTGGCTCGGACTCTTTTTGTCTGCTCCCGTCTGCTCAAGTCTGGGGCTGCTCACTCTGTCTGGTGCTGCTGGCGGTGGCTTGCTCCTTTCGGCTGATGCTGTCTGCTGGCTCCTGGGTCGATGAAAACCAGTGGACTTTCTCCTGAAGACTTGTCAACTGTCAATAAAACTCTAATCTAACATTTGAATGACGAAAAGACTATTTCTTCAGTTCTGGACATGTTTATTTAGCGAGAGACACTAAAGACTGTCCACACAGCTAAGATGTTACTCAGACTCTCCGCCCCCAGAGAGGCGTGAGCGTGCCTGGGCTCGTTCACGTCTTAAAGGGCCATACATGAAAATTCACCACAATACTCATTTCTTTTTCAGCATAGGCTAATCGGACTTTTGCTGCTTGTGCTCGTGCTGCTGCCATACTGGCTCGGGTTGATGCTGACCTGCTTGAACATCCTGCCTATGATCTAACAGTAAGTTTTCCTGAATACCTTGAGGACTTTGTTGAGCGAGCGGACCTTGTGTCATAATTTTTACCTTCAGCTTCTGAGTTTTCCATTGGTTTAGTTGAACTGCCACTCATTGTCCCTCACCGAGTGCTATGATTTCACTGTACTGTTGCACCCAGTGTGACCCCGTGTCCTGTATTGAGATTCACAGCCAGCTAAACTCTCTCTTGCATCATTTCCTTCAAGGAACAGGTGCGTGTTGTAGTTGAACAGAATTTAATACAAAAGAGTGTGAAACTGAAACAATACAAAAATATAAAAAAGGGATTCAGTATACAAATAATGTTTCTACTTAAAGCAATAGACATATCTCTTGATTCCTAATGTGCATGAAATGATCTGCAGCCATAATCTCTCAGCCCCGTGGATTGTCCAGCTAGGATTCCTGGTGTTCTGGTGTTCTCAGTCCTGAAGGATCTGGTTTGGATTGTCCTGCAAGGATTTTACAGTCCTGTTGAGTTCAATCCTGAAGGGTCTGGTCGAGCCCTTCTCTGGCCTACCAGGTAGCCGCAGTGATCTCCACTTTCCCCAACACCTGCAGCGTGTCTTTGGATCCCATGCCTCCCTCCTGGTCCTCTGCTGCTGCTGCTATGCCTACAGCACTGTGGATTCTCTGGGGCCTCTTATTCCTCATCTCTGTGACTCTTTCAAGGACAACAGAAGCGAGTTTACCAACAGCGCTAGTCCAGTGCAGAACTAATGCTAGTCTCCTGCTAGCACCCATGGCTCTCCAGTACTCCGCCTCTGCTCTTCGCCGCCTCAACAACAACCGCTGCCCAGTCTGCACAACACTCTCCAAAAACTCGGATTATTCCACTCATGTCGCCTTCCACATAGAGGCTGTGTTCGCACTTTTTCATACAACTTTTCATCCCCGTAGACCAGAGGAGCCCAAAGTAGGGCCCGCGGGCCAAATTTGGCCCACAAAGCCATTTGATTTGGCCCACCAACAGTTGCCAAAGTTACAAGGTTGTAACCTGTTATCCTATGTAGAAACACAGTATTTCCACTGGTCAAATGACTTTATAAAAGGGCTGTGAAGGTAGTTTTCATTCATGGTGCTGACTTTATCTTTGATTTAATCGGATTAACATGAAACATGAAATGACAAGAAGACATATTTYGATCAGATTTAACCCCACATGTAGATTCGCAGACTTTATAAGGACACAAAAACTCATATTTTATCTAATTATGAAATGTCCCATGAGCCTTTGCTACTTGAGCATATGGCAGACTTTCTCCATGTGCCCAGACTAAAACAAAAGAGGGCCATTGCATAGCTTAATCGTTAAAAATAAAGAACTTTACTTTAAAAAGTATTTGTATTTCATGTATTATATTACTGCATTTGGCCCGCAGCCCCCTATAGATTTTCATTTTGGCCCTCTCAAGGAAAATGTTTGGGCACCCCTGCCGTAGACCATCCCATCTCTCTGGTCTCACCTCTCTTTCACTTCCTCTTTACGTCGTCACAACAAACCCCATGTGAATCTGGCCAATCTCCATCCTCTCCCTCTGTGTTCTCACCAGACAGCTAAGATTCTCTCTCCTCAATACTCGCTCTCTCAATAACCAAATCCTCATCCTAAACAAATTCATTTGTGACAATAACCTGGACTTTCTCTGTTTAGCTGAAACATGGCTCAAACCCCTGGATTATTTTTCCTATAATCAGACCACACCACCCAGATACACATACATTGAAACCCCCCGTCCTTAACCTGAAGTTTAAAACGTTTCATTTCATGTTAGCAGAAACACGACTCATTTCCATGATTACATGGCTCACCTGTATCAGGTCATTTTCTGTCAACTGGGGGCTGAAGTCTCAGTTGTTTTCAAGCTATTCTCCAAGAGTGAATAAGTTCATGGAGGATAAGCAGCGTTCTTAATCTTGTTTAAAACAAGATGATGGCTGTAGGACACCTGAAGCTAATGGATAGAGGTGACCTCAGCAGGTTAATGACATCATTAATGAGATTTAGATCTGATGTTTGTTTCTGATAGAACCACAGAAACTTGCAACAGTCCAGGCTTCAAGCAGACATTGAGGGGCGGCTGTGGCAGAGTGGTTAGGGGAGTCATTCCTCTAATGTGAGAGTTGGTGGTTCAATCTCCCCACTGTTCAGTCACATGTCGACGTATCCATGGCCAAGACACTGAACCCCCACTGCCTCTGATGTGTCCCATCAGTGTATGAGTGTGATTTAAAGCACTGATTAGATTCCATACATGATTTGTACATGTTAGCTTTGTAGAGACCTAATAGAATGTGTGAATGGGTAAATGAGGGCACAGATTGTAGTGTGAAGAGCTTTGAATATCCTGGTTGGATAGAAAGGTGCTGTATAAATACAGTCCATTTACCATTCACATCAGGTTCTCAGTCAGTCAGAGAAGTTAATGGTCAGCTCCAGGTGATTATTGAACGGGCTCTGCTTTGACAGCTAATGGTGTGAGTCCTGCTACAGGTAATCTGCCAGCAGGGGGGAGGTAGGCTCACCAAGGATCAGGAACTATTCTGGGGAAGGGGGAGTTAATCTGCCAACAGCAGCAGGATGCATTCTGGGAAAAGCCAAGTCACTACCTGAGAATAACCGATTGTTTTTTCTATGTCAAAACACCAACATCATGAACTGAAGCACTAACATGTACCTGAGGAGCTTTCCTGCTCTAACCTAGGGAGTATTAAAAGTACCTCAATAGTACCAGGATAACTGAAGTTATGCACATGACTCAATGCAAGTGAGTTAGTGTTGCAGTTGTGAATGAAGCTAGATATTCAGGTAGAACCGTCCAAACCCACCTGTCCCTGTGAGTCCAACTGGGTTGAGAGTAGATACTAACAGCTTAGCTTTTATTTTAAAGAGTTCTAATAAAACTACAGCCAGATCTGTCATTTACTCCTGACAAAGATTGTCCATTTTCAGCTTATCAGACCTGAAACTGAGATCTAATACAGTTTTTATGTTGACAAAAAACAATGTAAACTATTGTTCACCTGCAGAAATATCAAAACAAGCACAAGCTGTTGATCAATCAGCTGATTTAACAGGAATATTTAGTTTCTCTAAATGTCTACAACATTTTGGTTCACACTTTTTACATAAATCAAAGGAGGAAATTCTGTTTTAAAAACCTTTTCAGAGATTAAGTCACTTCCTGTGGCTCCTCCTGAGAGCAGGGCTCTTACCTCTGACAGAAACTTGTTGCAACCTGTTGGTAAACATAGACTGTGTGTGTTTGTGTCAGTCAGCAGATGTGGCGGGCCTGAAGTACCTGAGCACGACTCTGGAAACAATGACGGACCCTGAAAACCCTGAGTGTGAGAGTGAAGGCTGGCTGCTGGAGAAAGGCATAAAGGAGACCTTCACCGACATGCTGTCCAAGCTCAAAACACTGGGGAGGGGCAACCAGGTGCAGGAGGGCGGGGATTCCCCTGAAGCTGCCACCTGAAAGCCCCACCCACCACTGAGGACTACCCCCACCCTCCCACAACCCCCACAGCAGCCAATTGGACCGAACTTAGAGCAGAAACAGAAAGAGGAGGCATGACTTCCAAGTTCAGCAGATTCCACCAAAGCACACGTACATACTCTCTCTCTCTCTCTCTCTCTCTCTCTCTCTCTCCCTCTCTCTCTCTCTCACACACACACACATGCACACACACGTGCACACATACACACTCATATGCTGATTGTGATATTTATTTTTCCAGTTTAAAATTATGCTGAACAGATTTTCTTTGAAACAGGAACAATAAAATCTGGTTTCTGTAAGTCAAAGTGACGGTCTTGATGTGATCCAAACTGGACCACCACAACACAGATCTGCTGACCTCAGACACATGTGACGACCCGGAGAACCTCGCAGTCCTTTAGCTTATCCCCCAGAACATGCATGATTTACAGTTGAAGGACTTTTTGCCAAATGTGTTTGTTTACGTTCAGATTTTTGTTTGTGTGACTTTGATGTTTGATATCAGTCAAGTTATCTCCACTGTCACCATCAAACATCTGTTATGACTGATTACCATGAAAACATATGGCTAAACTCCCAGCTGCCACCTGTGACAGGCAGCACACAGGTATGCTCTTTTGTATGCACACCTGTAGGATAACCTGCACCTTTACGCATTTCTGTATTCACACCAGCACACACACACCTGTATGGTTCTGAAAAACAAACAAACACACAAACAAGAATATCAGTGTCAGATGCAAAAGAAATACGTAGGAACATGTAATATGGACAGGTGTAGAGACAGGTGTTTCAGGTGTGTGTACAGGTGGACAGACAGTTGTGCAAACAAGTGAGTTAACGTGTTTGTTAACAGATGTTTAAATAGGTTATTTATGATATTTATGTATAAACTACAGACTTCAGACAGGTGTGTAAATATGTATATACAGATGTACAGACTACAAACCTGTCTGTAAACAGGTGGATAACAGGTGTGTAAACAGGTGGATAAACAGGTGTGTAAACAGGTGTGTAAACAGGTGGATAACAGGTGTGTAAAC